GTTCAGAAACAATGCAGCGTTCCTTGTCTGTAATCCACAGACCTTGTGCATTATTGCGAAAATATACTGCCACGACGCACAATTACGTCAGCGAAATTGTGTGTATTACAGAAACATTTTATGAAAGGATCATTACGCCTATATGATAGCAGTCCTAGCACCATGATTTGGTATGGAGGTTGTGCAACAAGGCAGAAATGCACCGAAAACTTACCATGTCCACCGTGGCTAATCCCACGCGGCATGCAGCGTGGACCTCCGTATCAAGTCGACGTGAGAACCACGAAAGCCTTTCATTCCTGCTGGCAGTAACATTCACCACCGCCCCAATCTGCACGCACACACCATTATAATCCCCAGACACAAGGTGTAAGATTTAGGTTCCAGGAATGTTCGAAAAATTCAGAATACATAAACTCGAATTAATTTGCACGCATCCGCCCGCGTGGCTGATGCACGGGGCGATGCATCCAGATAAAATTTAATCCATTTTCATTAAGCATTTAGGCCTATTTCCTATCATTTGAACTCACATAATGTGTTGTGCGTAATAAAATTATAATTTCATCTAAACTATACATACAAAACGTAATCAAAATGAGAGTCGCAGCCAAGCAAGGTGTAAGATTTAGGTTCTAGGAATGTTAGTACAATCTAGAACCCCTAGTATGCTCATATTAAATTTATCACAATTCCACCTACACTATAAATAAAAAAGGTTATGGAAAATGAGAGTTGCAACAAAGCATGGAGTCAGAAGAATGTAAGCACAATAATTTGAATGCTTTACCACCCTCAAAAACTAAGATTAATTTGCACTGCACCGCCCAAGGCATGCTACAAATTTTTAGAATACAGGAGAACTGCTCATGCTATTCACAAAGAGAAATGGTAGTTGGAATTAAAATCAAAATGATTATATATTCAAAAACTTGTGAATTCTCATAAAACTTGTGAATTCTCATAAAACTTCTACTGTGCTACCGTGAAGAAAAGATCTAAGCTTTCAGATTGGTTTAATTAATACAATTTCCTCCTGCAAAATGCACCCATTAAATGCAGATGGAATGGATTTAATTGCACAGGAAGTTATGTGGCTTGCTATCATTACAACATTAGCTCTATTGCAGTAAAAAAAAAAAAAAAAAAAAAAAACAAAAAACAAAAAAAACAGCATTATTAATCCAATTTTCTGCCGTTAACACTGCGACCTAATCCCTTAATTGCAATGCACCTGGTTTTGTGTTGTTAACAAAGCGGCCTAAGCTTAGTTCTTGTGTAGTGTTAGTTTGAACATGTGCACTGAAGATACAAGTGAGCACCACACCACGTTACAATATAGACATCACAATTTTCCACACAAAAATTACTACATACCAACTATCTTTCTATCTATATGGAGAAAACTAAGCGTAAAGAAAAGAATATTAGATTTACCAATTCGTGTGTAGAAAAGAATACATATATGTGTATAGACCACAACACATTCAAAGATAAAACAAATTCTAGTGCACCCCAGACTACTTAAGTGCACCATTAGCCATGTTGAGTGCACCAATAGAGTGCTTAGCTAACCACTATTATATAAAAATGGGTATTCTAGTGCACTCCTCAATAACCCAAACAGTCACGTTCACTAGTATTCTGTCACATAACTCATTAATGCACTATAGTATAAAAGAAATGCTTCCAATTCTGGAGTTGTGCATGAGGAAAAATTCTGATATTGGCAGCACCAAACACCCACACACATATTTGTTTCTCACATGCCAGATGGCCCATGAACAAACCTCTCTACAGATAAAAGTAAAAAACATAGTCGGGGTACAATTTGTTTTATAGTCTTTGTAAACTCCATAAACCTACTGATCCTACCCCATTAATTATACCCCCTGAAGTGACGCAATAAAGAGTGGTTTGAAACAGGGAGGTAGCAATGCAACTATCCAGGCATTGTCCTACTGCTATATTAGTTGGAGTGCAAGAAACATAAAGCTGCAAACTCAGCTTGCAACTATCCAGGCATTCATCTACTTACCATGAATCTTAAGCTCATTACCCTCACCCCAGACCACTGGCAGTGCAACAAAAAACCAGCAGTGCAAAGAGTATACAGGGAAAGGAAATGAAAATACAAGCATATATGTGCAGTGTTCACCCCGGGGGAGATGGTCAAAGTGCAATGAGTGAAAACAGAGGATAAAGCAACAGTAAAACATGTATGACTCTACCGGCGAAAGAGATTCTCAAGCGTTGAACTAAAATGAACTGCACTGGTTTAGCAACCCATAATAAATGGACAATATACCAAAACTTTTAGCTACTTTTTAATTTTCCAGCCCGCATTCAAATCCATAAGGATCCTTATATTAATAATAAGCGAGCAATCATTCAAGATATATAGAAAAAGCCAAATATAATATGCCGCAGTAGGAAGCATACCCCCTACTGATCCTAAAATTTTAATGAATCTAAAATTTTAACTATAAAAAGGAAAACACACAACAATCTAGCTAGCTAGTGGAGTCTGTTCAATTACCAACGACGCACCTTAAAACTCCTACTGTGCATTCCTGGTGTGCCCAAATATAAAGACAGGTGAATGCCACTAATTTAGGGCACTCCATCCTTTTCACCCATCTTTCACATGTTTTTGAATATATAATCATTTTACTTTTATTTTTTTTTTTTGGTAAGCCGCCGTCTGTAATTTGTGCATTTGAAAAGATCTAAGCTTTTAGATTGGTTTAATTAATACAATTTCCTCAAGCAAAAAAAAAAAAAAAAAAAACAGCATTATTAATCCAATTTTCTGCCGTTAACACTGCGGCCTAATTCCTGGTTTTGTGTTGTTAACAAAGCGGCCTAAGCTTAGTTCTTGTGTAGTGTTAGTTTGAACATGTGCACTGAAGATACAAGTCAAGACCTAATTTTGTTTTTTCCCCTATCAACCAGTAGCATTCGAACCCGAACAAGCAAAATAAATATAACCTAATCCAATATAATCAAGAATTCCTCATTCAAAATAAATATAATCTACTGTTAGTTTCCTTATACAAAATGCACCCATTAAGTGCATCCCCAGCCTGCACCTATGGTATTTGTTCGTTTTCACTGTGCTTTCATATGACCACATGCAATGAAGATACAAGACAAGACCTAATTTTGTTTTTTGGAATAAGCAAAATAAATATAATCTAATCCAATATAACACTAATCTGGAAGGCATTCTTTGAATAACACTTGTTACGCCATTCATACAAAATGTCAGAGTTGGTAATGTATCTAGAAATACTGACAACAAACCTTAAACAGATATTATACACATGTATCAAGCAAAATTAGTCCTACTGGAAGTTCAGTATTAATGTAAACAGGAGAGTTGATGCGGCACAGACATTTTTGAAATTTTTTGTTAGATACTAAGCTTAGATAATAGTGAATTACATTAGCATTAGGCCAGAAAGTTAACACCTAAATCAGTAAACATAGTATCATTATTAACTGTTATATGCTAATATAAATCCGCTAAAAGCATGATTAAATTGCACACCCAATTCCACTAACAGAATGTGAGCATGATTAAATTGCATACCCAATTAAACTAAACACCAAAATCTTCCAACGATAAGTTTTTTCATCTTAGAAAAGGTCTCATACCAGTAGCAGCATGTAATGCAGGCAGCACTGTTACTCTACACAAGTTCTCCGCATCTTCCTTGATCCTAATGGTCTTCGGTCACGACGCACCTAATTCGGTAATTGCAATGCACCAAATTCACTAATTCCGTAACTGCAACCAGGTGATTCCAAAATTACAACCCTAGAATCACTTCCAACACCCCCCAACAAAGGAAAAAAAAAAAAAAAAACTCCCAATTGCACAAATTAGTGAGCTTGTCTGCATCTATTGACTTAACCTAATGTTGAGTGCCCCCTACACCCCCTGATTTCAGCCCGGACGGACCCAACCGCACCGGCGTTTCCGACTTCAACTAAAAACCAACAGAGTAAACAAAACAAGAACTAACCTGCCACATCCGACCGGTGCGTCGCCTGATGCCTTGCAGCAACCCTAGCCGCTATCCCGGAAGTAGCCTTGCCGAGACGACGCCTGTGTGCCTGGGACCCCGCAGTCACCCTGTGCAGCCCATACGACGGCGGAGTCGCAGGCAACAACGGCTGCGTCGACCTACCCCTCCCCTCCCGGCGGCCGCTACTTGATCGAGTCATCACGCCACTGGATAACGCAGGCTTCACCGGAGAGTGCACGGCAACACGAAAATTGACTCGTCGAGCTGGGAAGCCGGCTAACACAATGAAAGTAAAACGCAAACCTAAACCCCCTAAACGCGTACCTAACGAAATTACCCACTCGCCCCTATCTACCACATCAGTGCGCTATAGTGTAGGTGATTGGGTAATTGCAGTGCACCGGACTAGCGTGCACGTGCATCTTTGACCACTGATCAAACAAAGTGCACGACTGGAGATAGTGCACAAATGCACATGATAATGAAAATACACATTTGAACAGAGGTAGTGCACAAATGCACATGATAATGAAAATACACATCTGAACAGTTTCATATATATATATATATATATATATATATATATATATATATAGATTTTGGATCAGGTGAGGTACCTAATTAAAATGAGGTACGGTGAGGGTCGATCCTAGGCGTTGGTTTTTGAGATTGTGCGGATGTGATTAGAAGGCAGGTTCAAGCTTATAATTGGATGATTCGTTTATTAAGGGGGTATTAATGTAATTAGCAATGAGTCATTATTTGTGTTACCGTTTTTATATTGATGCGTTGATTCCTTTCCTTAATAGACTTTGTATTATTTTCTGTCTCTCCGGTTTCCTCGTGTTCGTCGACATTCAAGACTTCCGCAGGCGTTCCATCTTCTTGTCTCTCGAGCATCGGCGATAATCATCAGGCCGCATCTGTATAACTCTTGCTCGTCCGTCGGCTCTCTACAACTAACCCATGGACGGTGAATCATCTAGGCGTTCATTGCAGCGGCGTGGATCGTCCTCCGTTGTTGTTCAAGGTACGTTTTACTGATTGGACTCCTTCTCCATTGTTACATGATTCTGGGTTGAAGGGTGTTTCTGAATGTGGGTAGGTGATGCAAAGGTGTGTGTGTTCGATTGGGGTACGGGGGCGTGGGGGGAGGTGTGTATTTTGGGGTTGATTGGGTGGTTCTATGGTGCGTTTTGAGGGCTTCAAATCTCCTGCATGTCCCCTTTTTTTATTGGGTTTGTTGGGGCTGGTGGTTTGGGAAGAAGGTGGTGGTGAGTTGGCGGTGTAGATGGCGTGGGTGCCGGCGAGATGGGGGGTGTTCATGGGGTCAGATTCCGATTAGGGTTTTGTCTTCTTCTTCTTCTTTTTTTTTTGGAGAATTCTGGACGAGGTTTTTTTTTTTTTTTTTTTTTTTTTGGTATTTGAGGGTTTTCTTTCGGGTTTGTTAAACGGGGGTGGGTTCGTTCCTGTAGGATGTTATGGGTTTTGGCCGTCTGTGCGAGTGGGTTGAATGGTGTTTGCATGTTTAGGTTTTGGCTTGTGTGAGTACTTTATTTGTGCTATGGGGTTGAAAACAGTCTCATAATTTAGTTAGTTGTTATGTGCTATGGGGTTGAAGTATATGCGCATACGCTTCTGGACTGCTATGGGTGATTGCATTTGTTATTTGGTTTTTGCATTATTAAGCCATTGGTTCAGTTTCTGATGCTTTTCGGGTATCTCTGTGTCAAAATTCCTGCTCATGATGTATTCGTAGTGCAGGTGAGTTATGAGAATGTACTTTACAGCAGCCAAATCTATTCCAATTGTTCAATTCTGTAGATTTTCTACCATCCATTCAAACAATTTAATTCCTAAAAGATATGGAATCCTTTATATTCTATCGAACATTATTTCAGTGAGAGCTCTGTTGTTTTTTATTTTCAATTATTTAATAATAATATCACATATCTCTTTAATACTTTGATATATAATCATTAGTTTAATCTCACTGTTTCAACTTCTACAGAACTCACCATCTGTTCCTACATTGGTTGCTGTAAAATGGGTAAGCTGGATTAGACGTTCTGCATTCATTATAGATTGGCATAATTTTGGATACACACTCCTTGCACTGTCTCTTGGCAGGAATAGCCGATTTGTCACATTTTATCATTGGTAGCTAAGTCTTCTTTCATATATAATCTTCCCTGTATTTTTATGTATCAAAGTTATTTAAATCTTTAATTTGTGCCTAGGATTGAAAAGCATTATGGGAGGATGGCACATGGGTCCTTGTGTGTGACGATGGCAATGCAACATGAATTGGCTCAAAACTGGGGTATAAAGTAGGGGACAGGAATTCAAATTTATCTGTATTTAATGCTGATTATTCATATTTGCTGGTTATTGTGTTAATGCAAGATTTTTTATCCTCTATGGTTTTCAAAAAACTTAGTGCCACTGTTCTATATGATCAAACATGTATTTGCGCACTCCGTATAGTTATTTGGGTACTTTGGTTGTGTTAGATGTGAGCGTGAAATGAATGGAGTGTATGCGTTTACGTAATTCAACTCTAAATATTGCCGGGTGTAAGATAGTTTATGTATTGACATTTTTTTTTTTTGGGTTTTAATCTCGGGATTGTATGTGCATTTAGCTTTGATGCGTATGTATTTGCAGGAAATGCAGATGGTGAGAGTCCAGACATGGTTCAAGATAGTCTGTGCAGATGGTTCAAGATAGTTTGTCTAATGTTAGGTGAAAATCAAAAGTAGTACAGCTAAATTGCTTTTTAGTGCCTATACTTTTCATATTAGACTACGGACATATTATATTCGTCTATTAATTTCAATGCGGATTTTATTTATTTAGAAATAATAAATTTGGTGGGAATATCGTTTACGCACTTACTTTTTCATTTTTACTTGTGTTGAATAGGTTCTATTCATTTTTTTTTATTTTTTATTTTTGTTACAAAGTAAGGGGATGTCCACATATAGAATCTACGCCTACATTGAGGCTCGAACTTTAGACCTCCCACAAAAGAAACCAATCGAATACTAGTGGACCACAAGGTCCTTGGTATAGATCCTATTCATACTAACTACTAAACATGTATACGTCTTATGCACAGAGCCACAGACATTTAGGTATACATGCACCTGAAATGGCTACCCGCCTCTATATTATTGTAACACACACCACAATGCACACATATAACCAAATCTGCACACGCTGTATACGTTATAGACATGCTACCAAATGTATATAATTAGGGTTTCACACTCAATTGGGAGTTGATGCACCAAGGTGGCTCTTCACTTTAGTTTGTAATGTGGATATGTGTTCAGTATTCAGCACACAATTTCGGATCGCGCTCTCAAAACATTTTAGTCTTGCTCAGTGAAATGCACACTCTAGAATTTAAGCATGCACACACCCCATATATGTGATTCACTCCCACTGTTGTACTATGGATTGTGTGATTTTTGCACACGTCATATCACATGAACGCACACACGCCGATTTGTTCGCACACGCTGTAACACCCCAATGCACACACCTATACTAGCCTTTAGTCAGTATTAAAAAAAAAACAATCACAAAACAAACACAAATACACGACCACACCGTATAACAGTTTCACGCCAAGACCGCATTATAATAACTCGCATACACTGTTGCACATATATGCTCAAACCACCGTACATTACCACTCATGCGCATAAAAGAACCAACGAATAGTGCACTTACAAATTATTTCTTCTTTAAAAACAAATCAGGACTTCACGGACACCCATAATATCAATTTTGGTAGAAATATCAAAAATAAAAAATTTTCAAATCTCCCATCCCAGAAATTTGCACACGCTAGATCACATGCACGCACACACCATCTTAAAATAAATTGGAATAAGGGTCAAATAGGCCATTGAACTGCACACAATAATGCAATTAGGCCACTGAACCAAAAAAAACAACAATTAGGCCACTAAACTAAGCAATTTTATTCAATTATTCTAATTTACAGGTTTTGTAGGTTACTAACAGGTCACCCAAACAATTTAAAATATTTTTTAAAAAATTATTATTTAAAAATAATAAATTAAAAAAAAAAAAAACTCGTCTCTGCCGGAGACGAAGAGTTTCTTCGTCCATGGCCGGAGACAAGAAACTCGTCTCCGGCGGAGACGGTTAATGTTTTTTTTTTTTTTTTTTTTTAATTTTAATTTTAATTTATTATTTTTAAATAATAATTTTTTTAAAAATATTTTAAATTATTTGGGTGACCTGTTAGTAACCTACAAAACCTGTAAATTAGAATAATTGAATGAAATTGCTTAGTTTAGTGGCCTAATTGTTGTTTTTTTTAGTTCAGTGGCCTAATTGTATTATTGTGTGCAGTACGATGGCCTATTTGACCCTTATTCCAAATAAATTTTACATTGCTTCTGCATTCATAAATTAAGTTTTAGCATAATAAAAAAACGTAGATCATTCACGCACATGCTTATTATTAATTTTTGTTGTTTTCTTTTTTTAAAGAAACAATGCTCCCATCCCTAAGCTTTGCACACGCCGAAGTACATATTTGCACAACCACCGTAAGTTCATCTCCAGTGTCCCAAAAAAAAAAATACACGTACTACTCTTACAATCTTCTTCTTTAAAACCCACCCATATACATGAATTCACGCACACACATATAAACTATTTTCATAAAATTACAAAAAAAAAAAAAAACAAAACAAAAAAAAAAACAAAACTCATCTATACAATTTGCACACACCATACTACATACACACACACACCGTCGTACATAATCAACTAAAAATACCAGCTCTCAATACAAATTATTACTAATTGTTATCTTTAATATTCTACCTAATATTATGCTCAAGATTACAATTTAATACTAACCAAAAATATACTCAATACTAGAATTACTTTTTAATCCTTATATTTCAATAATGTCCTTAATTAGTTTAAAAGAATCTTTCAATCTCAACCATCCATTAGGAATGTGTTAATGGATGTGATGAGATCTCATAATTTCATTTTTAATAGGGACCTCATGGGAACCGCAGCCTATATATATATATATATATATATATATATATATATATATATATATATATATATATATATATATTGCAAAAGAAAAACCAGTAATTGCCTGAAGGGCATCCTTGGCAGCAATGGCGAACTGAGGAGTGGAAAAAAGAGCAAACCCCATGGGGTGTTCGCCTTTGAAGTTGACTTGAGATACTTCGTAACCCGGTAGCCACCTAAGAAGGTTCTGGAGTTCTCTCTCCTTCACGTCCTCCGGCAGCCCAGAGATGAAAATCGTACGCACCTAAAATCCAAAGAGTCAAAAACCTGCAAATATCGCGCCTATCTTTCGAGCAAGCATAAAAGCATCAAGTTTTTCGCTGTTACCTCGTCGGTGGGGGGACGATTAGGGTCATTAAGAGGTATTGGAGGAGCGTGCGGCGGCGGAGGAGGTGGCGCTGCATTCCGGTGCCGGCCATCTATCGGAAATCAACCGATCGATCCGCTTACAGTACACGGCAATAATGGCGCTAGACGACCCGAAGAAAACCCTAGAGAGATTGCGCGAATGAAAAAAAAATTGTGTAACGCTCTTATTCACATTTTAATCAAAATTTTATTTGAAGAAAATTAAATCTCTACTACATGATTTCTGTATGCAAACGACTTTTACAATAAATAAATAACAATATATCCATACTAATATAAAAATAGAGAGATATAAACATAGAAATCCATTTAAGCAACCACTTTTGAAAATTTTCCATTCAATCATTTATACATACAACACCAAAACACTTTCCTGCATGCCTATCTCCATTCTCCGTCTTTCCGCCAGAATCCTCAAACCAGCATACCTGCACACATTCAATAAATATCTACACATTTGAAAAAACGATAAGACAACATACATTAATATTTAAAGGAACTGTATGAGCTCCGATCCAGAAGGATTGGAGGGACGATGGAAATTCCGTTCCTTAGCTTGGGTTGTCGTAAAGGAACTGGCCGACGTTGGGTGTGAGGCCACAGGAATGCCGAGAGAAGAGAGATAAAGGCGTGGGCCGATGCCGCAGCTGCGGGCTGCCGAGAGCGCCGGCAGAGAGCAGGACCATCGCCGCTTTCCCTCACCATAGCGTGGTGGAACAGTCCCAATGGTCACAGATAAAAGTAAATATAAATATATATATATATATATATATATATATATATATATATATATATATATATATATATATATATAGAGAGAGAGAGAGAGAGAGAGAGAGAGAGAGAGTTACAGTTATCAAGAAACTGAATGAACCCAGCTAATCTTTTGGGGAGCATGCAGAATCAGTTATCTCATATCTGTTAGTTTTCGGGTAAAATAAGTTATAACGAACTGTTACGGACAACAATTGCTATATATATAAAGAAGAATTTCATCCACACGACGCTATCTGAACTCCCAGAATTTCATCTACTGATAAATTTCTTTGGCTCCCAAGTCCTAAAGGATCTTTCTGCAGGTTATACTTATTACAATATTAAGATAGTATTTATTAGTGATGTGGGTAGTTTTCATAGTCGGAGACTCGGAGGCACCGCCGGTTGTCCACTGGCGGCTACATTGTCGGAGAGATATAAAGTTCTGGTTCTTGAAAGAGGCGGCGTTCCGTTTGGGGATCGAAATGCGATGAGGCCTTGGGTTCACTCGGGCTTCCAGCAACCCATCTCTTACCGCCGATTGCCAGCTCTTGAGCTCCGGCCGAAACACGATGGCCCTCCCCACCCACTCGTATGACTGGTTCACCAGACTAAGTTCCCAGTTAATCCCGGAGTTTCATACATAGAATTCCTGGTCTGCACTGCTGTAGAAACCGTACCGGCGTTTATGGCGCTGCTTCCGCCGAGAACACGGCCGCGTGCGTTAGGGACTCCATCCTCGGAGATTAAAGGCTGAGCAGGGGAATCAAAGGTGGCGAGAAACCCCTCTTGGGATCCCCAAATGGAACGCCGCCTCTTTCAAGAACCAGAACTTTATATCTCTCCGACAATGTCTCCGATAAGGGTTTCTTTTTCTTTTTTTTTTTTTCTGTACATTTTATATATTAAACTAATTTTTTTTTCTTTTTTTTAATACATGCAGGCATGGATTTAATTGACGACCCTCTCCACACTACTCCCATTAACAGCCTATTTTATACAGGAGTGGAAATTGGTAGCGTAAAGCTGTATCAAAATAGGGCTAAAGATACATACTATATTATTAAAAAGATTAGGATAAGGGGCCAAGAGAATATTTTTGAAGATAATATTGAATTGGAGATCTTACAGAGTATTAAACATATATGCGGGTTCGGTAATGCCAGGATTTTAGAGCCATGTATGCGGCCCATCCATCCCTCTGTTATCCGAGCAAACAAGTCTGAAGGGGGGCTCAAATACTGGAGCCCCGAATATCTCCGGGCCGCAACTCGCAAGTGTGGGTTGGATCAAAACTATTCATTCGCGTCGGATGTGTGGGGTCTTGGACTAACCGTGTGGGAGCTATTCGTGGGCACATATCCCCTTCAATGTGATGGTCGGGATTTGGAAGGGACGCTGAGAACCGTAGATGATTTTGTACCTGTCATTCCACATGACTCACAGCACATTAATCATTTCGTCAATTGCTGTCTCCAGAGAAACCCCGATCAAAGAAGTTCGGT